TCATCTGCAGAATATGCTGCCGAAGTTTCCGAAATATAGTTCGGACCACCCTGTATATCCTAAACATCTTTTCAGATACAGGGTGGTAAAAATTTCTATTTTTTTTTAATCAAAATGCTTAATTTAATATACAAAAAAAATGTTTTATTTCTTCATTTCCTTTCAGCCGATGGTATGAACCAGCCTCCAGAAATAATTTCCACACAAGTCACCGCATCAGATTTTCAGCGATTTATTTGACCCTGAAGTAAACTGACTTTTTTTTAGCAAAAACTATGCGTTGAACGAAAAAAATCAGGAGATAAAAAATGTTTAGAAACGAATGAAGATTTTGAAAATATTTTTTATTTTAAGAGAAGTCAGTGGTGTACCACTTTTTTCTCTAAAAATATTCAATGTGTATGGACGGCACTGGTTGAAATAAATAAAATTCTTTGTACGTGTATCAAGTTTCATAAAAATGTCTACCCTAAAATCAGAGTTATAAAAAAAGTTTTTTTTTAGAAAATTTTACCACCCTGTCTCTCAGAATTTATGATCTTGAGGACATACACTCATATGAAGGATTTTCTCTTAGAATAGGTCCGAGTCCCCTTAAATATTAGCATGTTTTTAAAGAAGAAACTGTATTTTCAAAATCTCGACTTAATCTACTTTGACGCAGTTTTTTTTCAATCATTCAGTATATTACCTCCAGCCGGTCCTGACAAAATCGCTCTGGCTCCATTAAAATGTTCCATAGGAGTCAAACCGCCATCGCTTTGCATAAAAAGAACCCTGGTTCCTTTGAGATTGTCCTTGAACCCGCTACAAAATCCTTCCACGTACCTCTTGACATGCGGGGTAAGATATGCATCTGCGCAAGAAGTAAACCCTCTTGGTACAATTCGTACCATAGCGATGACTTGGTGAGATAGCGAAACATGCTTGAAACCTATTTAAATATTGAGTAATATTTTAACATCAGTAAGTTTAATATAATTTGAAAATCTTTATACAGGGTGACTATTAAATAAGTGCAAGTATTTTAACTGGTAGTAAGTACACTCACCCTACGGGCACCACGTAACGGGCACCTTAAAATTTTCATATGCTTTAAAGTAGTGTTTTTTTTTTTGTTTTTTCCTATCATGTTCTAGTGGACCGGTTTTGATGATTTTTTAAGCAATTTGTAGCTAAATTATTTGAGTTTTTAGTATATCTTTCTAAATAAAAATGAAAGTTGCCATCTGTAAATTATACGTGGGAAAACAAAATGTTAGTATTCTCGTAAAAGTTTGAACTAAAATTTAGATAGCTGTTAACTTTTAGTAATGTTCCGTACCCAACGGGAACCCTATTACCAAGACTTCGCTATCCGTCCGTCCGTCCGTGTGTCACAAAGGTCTATCTTATGAACCGTTATAGCTAGACAGTTGAAATTTTTATAGATAATGTACCTATGTTGCCGCTATAAGAACAAATACTGAAAACAGGATTAAATAAATGTTTATAAATAAAAAAGTACTTTCACTAAACATTATTCTTTTAAGTAAGAATTTTACATTTCAAGTCCTCGGTGGCCGCGTGGTTAAAGCGTTAGGGCTTTACGCTGCTATGACGTTGGAGCCGTAGTAAGGCAGGTTCGAATCCAAGTCAAGGCGACTTTTTTAAATCGTTTTTTTTTAATTTTTGCATATTTATTTTTACTTTTTACATATTTATTATTGATTAATATAATTTTTAGTAATATGTTCCTTCATTTTATTTTAAATACTTATACGCGCATTCAAAATTTCAGCTAAATCGGAAAAAAAGTTTATAATAATATAGTGTCTAATGTTGTATACATAGATTTAGGAAGAACAGATATCACATTTTGCATTTTAACCCGATCAAACAATCGGAGGTTGACTACGTACTGTAAAAACCAACTGAGATAGAGAAGGCGACATTGCCACATCTCAAATTTGCACCTATCTACTTAGTTTGATTTGCAGAAAAGGTGACTTTAAAACCTTCACCGGATATCAATAAATCTCAATTTCTTAATTAAATTAATAGTTTATTTTTAAAGCATGCGTAATATGTTATTAACCAGAGGATATATGCGTTACTATTAAAGGACATGTTTACTGTTTAATGTGTTGAAACGTCTAGAACTATTGGCAACGTCGCTGCTAGTCTTCCAGAACGAAAATGAGCCGTCCGTCCCACCACCCCTCGCGAAGGCCCTTGGTCCATTATGGTCCATTATAGCGTACTACGTTTAGCTTACGGTGTGTTTGAAGTCGGAATCAAGTCCGAAGTGAACTTTTCAGTGTTTTTCAGCAGTTTTTGTTTTTGTTTAACGTACTTTTGAATCTGAGAATTTTCAATATGATACGACAGTGTCAAGTGTGTGGAAATATAAGCTCAAATTACCCGAATTTGTCTTTTCACAGGTAGGTACATATTTCCGCCGTAATTGTACGTAGGCGTCCCACAAGAGAGCTCCTTACAATTAAAATAATTTCTAATTATATTTGTTGAATTTGGATCTATTAAAACAAGAACGTAGTAGTCGGTAATTGAATTATAATTCGTCTCAATTACTACCTAACTGTTGTAGATCATAACAAATTTGAATATAAACGTTGCATTTGAAACTTTATTATAAGCCAGAAAGTGACATTTTTTTCTTAAAATTGCGTCATATTTTGGTCATTATATACAATATTCTAAAGGAATTTTGCTCAACAAATAAACAAAGGTGTTTACCCGACCTTTTTTGCATTTTACTGCTTTATTATAACTGCCCCTTCCGCCTTGTTTAGGCAATTTTTTACCACCGTACAAATACCTCTTCCTAGAGTTATTTGTACGGTGTGTTTATCTTTTTTTTAGAATGGGACGAACTGTAAATAATTTTTAGGCTACTAGTTTTATACATACCTATATAATAATAATATAACGGCTGTATATATATGTATATGTATATATGTATATATATATATGTACATACCTATATACAAAATGACCCAGGCCTCCAAAAAAACTTTTTATCTATTACGTTTTTGGTTTGTGATTTTTATTTCAATTTTTTACATAAGATGGGGGTCATTATAGCGCACATTTTCAAAATATTTTTGTCAACATACAAGGTGATTCAAACCGCATACATATGCTTAATACAGTTCATGAAGATTGAGACATTTAACTAAAATTTGATTGTCTGATGAAGCTACCTTTAAAAGTAATAGGTTTGTAAATAAACGTAATATTCATTATTATGCGACAGAAATCCCATACTGTAGCACACAGATTTGATACTTTTAATGATAAATGCCTTCTATTGAGAGACTAAAAGGTAATTCTTCTTCTTCTTCTTCTCAAATACTATGGCCCCGCGTTTTCCAACGTCCGGCCAGCCTTTACTAAAAGGTAATTGCCTCGTATCAGAGCCATCATAATACAAGAAGAAGACCGAAAGAGTCAAATCTTGTCTCATATTTTCAAAAAAAGAATTTTCTCATTAAATATTGATTTTAGGTATAGGAAGTTATTAATAATACAAGATTAAACAACTATTACACAGTACTTCACAGGAAGCTATCGATTGCGAACTAACTAAATCGTTACTAATTACTAATTTTGAAGTTCTTTTTAGATCAAAAAAGGTAAAACTAAAACCTAAACTATCATTTCAGCTTAAACGGGAAGTTCTAAATAATGTTGCCTATTCTAAACAAGAAAAATTTATTTACAAGTTTTATAACATCTCTAATTAAATTTGGACGAAAAGAATATTTCTGTTTGCTGTAGGTAATTTTCTCACGGAAAATACAAAAATAAAAATAACTTTTTAAGTCAAAAAAAGTCAAAAGGGCAAGTTATTCTAAAAAAGGACTGTCCTTTTCAAAAAAGGACAGGTGGCAACCCTAGATATTTCTGGAATGGAAATTTAATGGCAAATCTTTATAAAGTTATATAAAGATTAAATTTGAAAATTTGTTTTCAAAAAAGTTTGAAAATATGTTCCGGCCACCTATGTTTACAAAAATGTCTAAAATGTGCTTTACCATTGCCTCCATATTCTGAAAAAAAATTGAAAGAAAAGTCACCAACCACAAATTGTAAAACCTGTAAATATTCAAGAGTAACTGAAAGTTTATATAGAAGTAACTGAAAGTTTAAATTGAAAATCGACGTTGGAGCGATTTTCGAAAACTACCTACTAACGTTTCAACAAAGGTATATGTGGGATATTAATTATATTATTATATTAGACCTTATAACAAAACTCAGTATTTTTCGGTGGTTTTCGGTGGAAAAAGTGTTAATGTAGTATATTAATATGGAGTAAAAATTTTACTAATTAATTTACTTTTACTTTACTAATTAAATTCGTTCCAAAAAACGATACGCCACTGGCCATTAGAACAATCCAAATGCGCCTAGTTGCTGGGGTCGGAAATTTTAGACTTCTCTGTCTCTTCTGTCCTTGTTTGACACATTGGAATGTTTGATACACTACCAACGAGTATTTATGAATGAGATGTTCGGTCTATATTTATAATGTCTTTGGTTGTATAGATAATGAATGGTACGGAACCCTTCGTGCGCGAGTCCGACTCGCACTTGACCAATTTTTTAGATATTCGCTTTAGAAGAAGACACTAACATTTTTTCGTATTTTTTACTTCAAACGCATGCCTTTGGTTTTGGTCCTAGTCAACAGAACTATAAAATAGTGTTTGTGATTTATATAACGTAACTCTCTTTAAAAAATCATATTATTATTGTTTGTTATGCAGTTACTCTAGCAGATATGGTTTTAAGTCCAAAAGTCTCTACCATGATCAACTAAAGCAACAATAGCCGATACCTAAGAACTTAAAACCATCTCTATTAAAGTAAATGTTAATAAACAATAAT